TGCTCCTGAAAATGACCAATCTGCTCCAAGTAGGGCCGGAAGCCTCCTCGGCCATGTTTAGTAAGGGCACCTCGCTCCCGCCGGCGGAAGCAAGCAATTGAAAGAGGTTGAAAGGGCGGTATCTGAAGAAAACAACCAATCAACACAAAACTTTCACTTGTCAGGCTGTGTAATCCCACCCTCCTCAAATGAGCTGCTGTTTGGGTCCTTGCCTTGTGTCGTAATCTTTCTATTCCCGCCAAACTATCCCCAGTGAGACGACGCCTTAACCTAAAAAGGTGCAGTAAAGTTCCTGCTTCTGTGTTCCAGACCTACGTCGCGCGGCACTTGCCTCGCAGTGGTAGCCTCACAGCACCTCGTAAAGTTGCATGTTCTTTTCCATAGAGCCAAGTTATCTTTCTGCCCACTGGTCCAGATTCTCCCCAGTAAGGTGTGAAAAGTACCCTCTTATGCGTGACAGCCTTATAAGATTTGTGGATGACAGCTCCCTCCCCTGCGTCCACTACTTTCCCCCATCCCACTCTAATCTAGGCACAACATCCCCATTGGTCTCAGCAATTCATAATTCATATAAAGTGCTTATCTATGTCCCTCCCATAGGGAGTGGAACATGTCTGTCAGTTCCTTAGTAAATGCTATTAGACTGTTAGAAAAAAATTCCCCCTTTTTAATTAAAAACAATTTATTGGTGCTTTGAACCTGCCACCCTCGGTATATGGGGCCGGTGCCCTACTCACTGGGCCACAGGCGCCACCCTGGAATTCAACTAGTTATAACTAATTGACTAGTTATAACATATTGACTGATAGGAGAAGATCATATTAGTCAAAAATAAATCAGAAAGGGGCCAGGCAGGGATGGCTCAGGCCTATAATCCCAGTGCTTTGGGGAGCACAGGCAGGAGTATCACTTGAGGCCAGGAGTTCAAAACCAGCCTAGGTAACATAGTGAGACCTTGTCTCTGCCAAATACAGTACTGAAAGTTGAATACTGGGTGTGATGTCTTGCACCGATAGTCCTAGCCACTCAGGAGGATGAGGCAAAGGGATTGCTTTAGCCTAGAAGATTGAGGCTGTGGTGAGCTATGATCACACCTGTGAATACCATTTCTTTCCAGCCTGGGCAACATAGCAAGACCTGCCCTGTCTCTAAAAAAATTTAAAAATGTAAAAAATAGTCAGCATGATGGCTTAATCCTGTAATCCTAGTACTTTGGGAGACTGAGGTAGAAGAATCATTTGAGACCAGGAGTTCAAGATCAGCCTGAGCATGATTGTGACCTCCATCTCTGAAAGAAAAAAAAAAAAACTTAGCCAGATGTGGTGGCCTCTGCTTGTAGTCCAGCTTTGGAAGGCTGAGATAGTTTGAAGTTGCAGTGAGCTATGATGATGCTAATGCCCGCTAGCTGGGGCAACTAAGGGAGACCGTGTCTCAAAAATAAATGAATGAATGGATAAATAAGAATCAAAAATGTCTCCCTTAAAATATAACACAATGCAGAACATCAAAATAAGATTTTTATATATAATTTGAAGAACTTGATTCTCTGATAAGTTGAGTAGAGGGTTCAGTTCTCAGTCAGCACTAAAATAATCAGTATTTTGTGTGGCTATATGATAGCAAACTCACCTCTCAAAGTTTCATTTTGTCAAATTGAAGTCTTCTGAGTCTTTCCTTTCCCTCTCCAGGTAGGCTGGAGAGGTAAAATCCACAGCAAGACTGAGAAGGGGGGAAATGATCCTTTAAAATCAACCTGGTGACACACCCATTAGGATGGCTATTATCAGAAAATATAGAAAACAAATGTTGGTGAGGACGAGGAGAAAACTGGAATCCTTATGCACTGTTGGTGGGAATACAAAATGGTATAGCTGCTATGGAAGATAGTATGGCAGTTCTGCAAAAAAATTAAAAACAGAATCACTATGTGACGCGGCAATTCTACTTCTGCGCATATACCTCAAAGGACTGAAAGCAAGGACTGTACCCCTGTATTCATATCAGCATATTCACAATAGACAAAAGGTGGAAACAGCCTAAATGTCCATTGATGTATAAATAGATAAACCAAATGTGGTATAGACATACTGGGAAACAAAATTCAGTCTTAAAAAGGAAGGAAATACATAGCCTACAACACGGATGAAACTCAACAACATTGTACCAAGTAAAACACAAGAGGACACATCTGATTCCAATTATATGAGATACTTAGAGTAATCAAATTCATAGACATTGAAAGCTGAATGGTGGTTGCCAGGGGCTGGGGGGAGGGAGGAATGGGGAATGAGTGTTTATAGGTACAGAGTTTCAGTTTAGGAAGGTAAAAAAAGTTCTGGAGGTGGGTAGTGGTGATGGTTGCATATGCCTGAATATATTTAATCCCTCTGAACTCTACCCTTAAAACGATTAAAGCAAGGCCGGGTGCAGTGGCTCACATCTGTAATCCTAGCAGTCTGGAAGGCCAAAGCAGGTGGATTGTTTGAACTCACGAGTTCTAGACCAGCCTGAGCAAAAGCGAGACACTCCCTCTCTACTAAAAATAGAAAAACTGAGGCAAGAAGATCACTTGAGCCTAAGAGTTGGAGGTTGCTGTGAGCTATGACACTACGGCACTCTACCAGGGCGACAGCTTGAGACTCTGTCTCCCCAAAAAGAAAAAAAAAAAGTAAAAAAAAAAAGTAAAGCAGCAAATTTTATGCTATTTTGTCACAATTAAAAAAAATTTAAAGGGGGGGGGAAAATACCAATTTGGTTTTGTTGGGTATGTGCCAGGTACGTGAAGTATTAGCTCTGTTAGGTGCTTAATGTGTATTACTTCCTGATGGTTTTGACCTGCCATTTTATTTATTCATTATTATTATTACTATTATTTTTGAGACAGAGTTTCACTTTGTCACCCTCAGTAGAGTGCCATAGCATGACAGCTCACAGCAACCTCAAACTCTTGGGTTCAAGTGATTCCCTTGCCTTAGCCTCCCACATGCTGGGACTGCTGATGCCCGCCACATGGCCCAGCTATTTTTTGAGATGAGGTCTCGCTCTGGCTCAGTCTCATCTCCAACTCATGAGCTCAGGCAATCTACCCACCTGGACCTCCCAGAGTACTAGGATTACAGGGGTGAGCCACTGCGCCCAGCCTTGACCTGCCATTTTAAAAACCTCCAAGATTGGATGGCGCCTGTGGCTCAAAGGAGTAGGCGCTGGCCCCATATGCTAGTGGCAGGTTCAAACCCAGCCCCAGCCAAAACAAAGAAACAAAAAACAGCAAAAAAACCCTCCAAGATCATTTTGTCCTTACTTTGTCTATATGCATAGTTTAATCAAAACTGTCCCTATCTGATAACTTTTAATTTAATTTAATTATTTTATTTTAATTTTTTGAAGCAGAGTCTCACTTTGTTGCCCTTGGTAGAGTGTGGTATTGTCATAGCTCACAGCAACCTCAGACTCTGGGGCTCAAACAATTCTCTTGCTGGGACTACAGAAACCTGCTACAACATGTGGCTATTTTTAGAGATGGGGTAGGGGTGAGGTGTCTCATTGTTGCTCAGGCTGGTCTCCAACCAGTGAGCTCAGGCAATCCACCCTCCTCAGCCTCCTAGAGTGCTCCTAGAATACAGGTGTGACATTTAATTTTACATTTAATTCTCTTTTCAATATTCTCTACGGTGTGAGTTAGCCATTTCCAGTTATTTGCCATTTTTGCAATTCTGGCCACATTATTTTTATGTGGATGAATTATTTCCTGGGCAAAGTTTACAGTAAAGATTCAATTCATCATCCAAATTTGATCTATACCAAATTTTACTGTTTTTTCACATCTGCCACTGTTGTTTTAAGAGTGCTTATTATTAAGTACAATTTGATTGGGGGTGACTTTTTGTAGTTTTCAATGTTAAGCACAGATATAATTTTCCATTTCCTTTTTTTTTTTAAGACAGAATCACAAGCTATCACCCTGGGTAAAGTGCTGTAGAGTCACAGCTCACAGCAACCTCCAACTCCTGCGCTTAAGCTATTCTCTCACCTCAGCCTCCCGAGTAGCTGGGACTACAGGCACCCGCCACAATGCCTGGCATTTTTTGGTTGTAGTTGTCATTGTTTGGCAGGCCCGGGCCGGATTCAAACCCTCCAGCTCTGATGTATGTGGCTGGTGCCTTAGCAGCTTGAGCTACAGGTGCTACCCTCCATTTTCTTTTTTTGGTGGGTTAAAGATGATTTTACTGGATGGAGTTTTAGCCATTTTCGGTTTTGTATTGTACTGATTATTTCTACAAGTAATAATTATTATGAATTGAATAATGCTGATAAAATTCTTTTACTAGCAGAGAAGCTTTTATATGTGGAACAGAACATTCACAACTATAGTTGTCCCTTTGATATACCGGAGGGATTTGGGCATACTCAGTACCTAGGCATATGCCAAAATCCACACATGCTCAAGTCCCACAGTTGGCCAGGTGAAACCTGAGTACAGGAAAAGTTGGCCATCTGTATACGCAGTTTTCACATCTAGTGCCCACTGTACTTTGTCAATTTGCGTTTTGTTAAAAACAACAACAACAACAACAACCACCCTGCGTATAAGTGGACCCACGCAGTTCAAACCCATGTTGTTCAAGGGTCACCTGTATTTGCTTGATGCTCAATTTATTAAGGTTTTATAGCTAATAAAATGTAAAATCAAACTTTTGAGTGTTTAAAAATTATTTACAAATTTAATTAAACATACTTAAAATTTTTAAAATTTTAAACTGCAATTAAAATTTTAGTAGGGCTGATTCTTATGAATACTTCAAAAATCTTAA